ACTGCATCCATACCCTTTTGCAAACCAGGGTGCTCAGGATTTAAGCTCCAATGGCTAAATAAGTTAAGCACTCAGTCAAACTGAAAAACCAAGCTCACTGCCAACGTGTCCCTTTTAATTCACTGACCCCATAGGGTGGACTAGAACTGTCCCCGTGGGTTTCCAAGGAAATCACTATGGAGCAGTTGGTGGATTCAAAATGCTGATCTTGAGGTTCGCACTCTGCCATCAGGGTTCCTACGCACTCAGAAGACAAAGCCATGACAACCACAGGCCCTGCTGACGTCTAAGGGTGTCTTACCGCTAGTGGCCTAGGGCAGACTAGTAACCCCAATGCTTAGAACTTAAACTTCTTTTTTGGCTCTAGCCTCAGTTCGGACTCATGGCAAGCTGTACGTGTCAGAACAGAACTGTGCTCTATAGTACGGGGTTTTCAAGGGCTGATTTTTTCCAAGTTGTTCACCGAGCCTTTCTTCCTAGGCATCTTTGAGTGGACTCAAGCCTCCCGCCTTTCAATTAACAGCTGAGCCTATAATTATTTGCAGCACCCCGAATGCGATATAGCCAAGAGCTAAAAAAAAAGGGGTGGTGGTGTCACATGATTTGCAATTTTGCTCAGGCACAGTTTAGGTTTGTGCAAAGGACACCTGCCTCGCTCGTGAGTGGAGCCTGCCCCGCAGGCTTTAGCTAGTCCAGAATTTTCAGAGACCGGAAGGTGGCTTCCCAGTCCAATGCCCAGATGGGCACATGGGAAAAACAGAATCCGAACTCTTCCTTTTCTAGCTTCTCTGCAGATTGGGGTGGCGTTCCCACGGTTTGAGGAGTCCGTGCCTGCAGGAGGACGTAGGGGGGACACCGCTGGGCCAAGGAAAGCCTTCGCCTTCGGAAACTTCCAGAGTACACTAACTCCCTCAAACACTAGGAGAAAGACCTCAAAATCGGACCGCACTCTCCACCACCACTAAACGCACGGTAGGCAGGCGGCGGAGCCCGTGGAGGAGGGTGCCGGCACCAACCAGGCTTCAGCTTGCGCGCGCGCGTGCGCAGAGGCTGCTGGGAAGCCCCCGCCCCCCGCCGGTCTTCCAGTTTCCCGGCGTGCCTCGGGCCCGCCAAATGGGAGGGGGAGACGCAAGATGGCGGCAGCCGCGAACTCCGGCTCCAGCCTCCCGCTGTTCGACTGCCCGACCTGGTGAGTGCCGGCGAGGGCAGCGTGGCTTGGCTTGGGCCGGCCTGTGCCGGGCTGCACGAGCGGCTTGCTCGTGGCCGGCCGAGCGGCTCGGAGACGCGGCGGTTGATGGAAGCGGGCGCTGGCCGCCACGCCGGCCGGGCGGCGTGTGGAGGAACTGGGCACCCGGAGCCCGGGCCCGCGAACTGAGGAGACCCCGGGCTGGAGGCCCTAGGGCGCTGTCGCGGGCAGCGTCGGGGAGCATCAGCCGGTCGCCGGGGCGCTTAGGGGCCTCGTCCCGAACTTACCTCAACTCCTGACGGGAGTGCCTGGTGCTTTTGTGGAGGAGCCTCGATCCTGCTCTGCCGTCCGTCCGAGCGCCCGCCGCCGGCCCCGCAGCCCCCTCGCCGGCCCAGCCCCGAGCTGTCCTCGGCTTCCCCCGCAGACGGGCGCTCCCCGAGGACAGGGACTGCGCCGACCTACACCCCCCCTCGCGCGAAGCCAGGCACGAGTGGGCATCAGTCGTGTTGGAAGGATCCCTCCCATCCCTTCCCAAGTTCCTGGGAATAACTTCATTTAGCCTTGGAGTAGGGGTTCAAGATGAATAAATAGGAATTGCAGTGCAAGGACACGCACGCGAGTTAGAGCGATTTGGGTTGGAGCGCTTACCCCAGAGGCGTTGACGTGTGTGTGTGTGTGTGTGTGTGTGTGTGTGTGTGTGTGGGGCAGCTCCGACTCCCGTTAGATTGAGATCCGCAAAGGCACGGGCAGGCGTGTGCATCTTTGTGTTCTCCGCGCCTAGGCCAGGGCCAGGCTCGGAATAGGCGTTCCCCAAAGATGCTAGCGCCCTGCCTCTTCCGAGGGCTCGGCCGGATTGTCGTTTAGCATCGTCAGTTCGATTGGACCAAGATCCGTTCTTTCATATGTGACTGTAGGGACTCCGGCGAGGTTATTCATAAACCTCAAAGGATTCAACTGAAGGAAGCTTGTGGATGTGTGACTACACTGTGGGTCCCTTCGCACATCTGTAACTCGCAGTCCCTTCAGCCTGTAGTCTGTGTCCATTTTGGCATGCCAGTGCCTTGACTTTGGACAGAACAGCAACCGTTTGAGATTCATGTACCGTTTCCTCTGCTTATGATATGTGCCCGGCACTGGGTGGGTGCTTTGATATGTTTGTATGCCTCTTGAATGGTTTGACCGCAAGGGTAGAGAGGAGAGTTCCTTTAATCAAGGACAGCAGGTAGCTCTTGTGGTTTTGTGGACATGAAGCTGGAGGGTTGCCCCAGCTCCCTAACTATGGGTCACTGAGCTTATGGTCTCAGAGCCTAGGGCAGTACTCTCCTTGTTCTGTGCTAAGACTAATTGTGATTAGCCCAAAATTATCAACTGGGTTTGTTTACTGTTTTATGGTATTAATGATGATAGTGGTAAATCTTAGTTTCAAACTGCAGGCCATGAGACTAACCAGGCTATTGTACTTGCACTCTGTGCTGCCTTCTCTCCAAGTTAACAGCCCCAAACCCATGCCACTGAGTTGTTGATTCTGGCTTTAGTGCCCTTTTAGGGCACTACCACCTATAGCATTTCCGAGGCTGTGAGTTCTTATGGCACATCTTTCTCCGATCCTTGGGTTAGCAGCCAAATGCTTACCTGTGGCACCAGCAAGACTCCTTCCGGTGGTAGGATACAGGATTCACTGTGTGATCTCAATGCAACTCCAGTAAAATCTCTTTTGGAACAACTGAATCCCTGGGGAAGCAAGTGTCAAACGTAGAGAGGAACTGTAGTAACAGTGAAGTAGATGACATTTCTGCTTGAACATGAACTAATTATAGACTGGGAGGAGGGCTGAGATGTTGAGTGGGATGGTTGTAAATAGCATTTATGAACTTATCATGAAAAATGCTGTTTTCATTCTTTATTTTTGCAGGGCAGGTAAACCTCCACCCGGTTTACATTTGGATGTAGTCAAAGGAGACAAACTGATTGAGGTATGGGAAATGCATGTCTTCTCCCTTTCCCCACTGTGCTCAAGATTGCTGCCGGTGACTCACTCTCCGCCCCCTCCTTTGTGCTTTGTTTTCCAGCAGCGCTACTTTGGTTCATCTTGATTTTTTTTCCTATTAAAAGCACATGGTGATAGAACACAGTGAGCTTCATCTCTCTCATACTCAGTTTATTGTGACTTCTCCTGCCTTTCCGGTAGAGAATTTTAATAGGTCAATAAGCCCATGGGTCTCAGTAAAACTGAGGCCGTGTAACATGGCTTAGCCCATCTCTCTGAGAATACGTGGGATTCTGTGGCAAATACAAAGGTTGCAATAACTGAAGTGAATGATACAGATTAAGTTCAACTTTTAAGTTACTTTTATGAGTTTCAGGCCCAAACCTTTCAATGAAGTACGAGGAGCTAAGACATCTGCTCAAATGGTGGTGAAATATATTTATTCCAAGCATTTATTTAGTGCTTGTTATATAGTAAGCCCTATGTTAGCTATAGACATTACAACAGTGAACAAAACAAACATGATTATTGTCCTCAAAGAAATAGTTCAGTGGGAAAGATGAATTATACACCAGAAATTATATAATTATAATTGAAGTAAGAATTACAAAGGAAATGCTCTCAGGTATTCCAGCTTATGTAGAAGTCTCTAGAATAAGCACCAAATACAAAGAGGCTCCAAAAAGTTTGTGGGGGAAATGGAATTAAAAGCTAATGGAATTTCCCACAAACTTTTTAACGTCTTACTTGTAGAACTAGAAAAAGGAAGTTTTGAGTAGCTAGGTTACATACGTTTTTAAAACTTATATTTATGCAATATGAAATGAAGAATAAGCTCATGGAACTGGGAGTCTCCATGTCTTTGACCAATTTTATTTGCTTAATCAGTTAGTACTCTTTGAGTACCATTTAAAAAAAAATCATTTTATTAGGGGCACATACAACTCTTATCACAATCCATCCATACATCAATTGTGTAAAGCACATTTGTACATTCATTGCCCTCATCATTCTCAAAACATTTGCTCTCCACTTAAGCTCCTGGTTATCAGCTCCTCATTTTTTCCCCTCCCTCCCCACTCCCACCTCCCTCATGAACTGTTGATAATTTATAAATTATTGTTTTGTCATATCTTGCTCTATCTCACATCTCCCTTCACCCACTTGTCTGTTGTCCGTTCCCCAGGGAGGAGGGCACATGTAGACCCTTGTAATTGGTTCCCCCTTTCCAACCCACCCTCCCAGTATCGCCACTCACACCACTGGTTCTGAAGGGATCATCCGCCCTGGATTCCCTGTGTTCCCGCTTCCTATCTATACCAGTGTACATCCTGTGGTCTAGTCAGACTTGCAAGGTAGAATTGGGATCATGATAGTGGGGGGGAGGGGAGGAGGAAGCATTTAGGAACTAGAGGAAAGTTGTATTTTTTGTCATTGCTACATCACACCCTGACTGGCTCGTCTCCTCTCTGAAAACCCTCTGCAAGGGGATCTCCAGTGGCCTACAAATGGGCTTTGGTTCTCCACTCCGCACTCCCCCCTTCTTTGAGTACCATTTTTATCCTTTGGTGCTTATACTGAGCATAGTACATTCCATGGTTGCTAGCTTGAAAAGTTACCTGGGAGAATTCCTGAACCATGCTCTGTAAATAATGTCACTGTTAGGGTGTGATAGAGGAATCCCAGGTATTTTTGCAAAGTCTTAAGTCATGCTTATAATAAACTATGCCATTGTTAACAAATCCTCATTTCCTTAGCCAGTCATTTAGTACCCCTTTGTCATGGATCCTTTAATTTTACAGATTACGGACAGTTCCTGGATTATCAACTACCAGTGAGTTCTGTTCCTAAATCTGTCTTTAAGTTGAAGGAGTTAGTATCTAAAGTCATTCAGGTGTTTGTCTTTGTGTATAGTGTGTTTTTTTATTCATTTGAAAACATTAATGAAACATTTCTAGATACAGGCAAACATCTTTAAAAAATACAATAGTAATCGTTTGATGCACTAAGTAGTGGCCCCTTATTATCATAAACCATTGTATATACCTTAGATTTTTAATAGGCATGGAGTAGGCTTTATGGAGGTAATTTTAATCTGGGCACTGCTGGTATAAAACATCAAGATTATTTAATGAAATCATTGAACTAAAACTACTGTAAACCCTTTTAATTGCAGTTTTCCACAGAAACAAAGTATTTGTTGCCAAATAGCATGAAGTTGTGGTTGAAATCTATTTTGGTTCTGATTTTGGTAAATTTTTAGTTGGTAACGGGAAGGAACAGATAAGCTTAGCTTTAATGGCAACATCAAAGTCCTTTGTGAAATGATGTTTTTGAAAGCACTACACTTGTTAAAAAACCCTCTGATTACTTGCTCCCATTAGCTAGCCATGTTCCCTGGTAATAGATTGAATTCTAGCCCCCCAGAATATGTGTAGTAGACCCTAACCTTTGTGCCTGTAGTTGTAATTCCATTGGGAAGTTGATGTCTTGTTATGTTAATTATTCAGGGTTAGTGAGCAGTGTTTCCCAAAGTGGGAGATACTGGGTCCTGGTAGGGGTGCTACAATGATCCAGGGGATTGCAAAGTCGTACCTACATGTAGGGTTTGTTTTAAGTCAGCCTCTTGAAGTATAAAAGATTGAACACGGAAGCCGAGCTGCACAAGGCACATGCCAGCCCCAGGAGCAGAAGCTCAGAAGAGAGAGGGCCCTCCTTCCAGAGCCAATCGAGAGAAAGCCATCCATCCCTAGGGCCAGCACCCGGCATTTGGGCTTGTATCTGCTAACTGTGAGAGGATAGGTTTCTGTTTGTTAAGACCACTGCTCACTTGTACTGCTGTCAGCACTAAGACACTGGCTTTCCGGGCTCCTGGGGTGTGCTGAGTTGCCAGATAGTTGTCAAGGTACAGGCTGTATAGATCACCCTATCCTTCTTGAGAGGAACACACCTTAGAGGACGTGTGTTTAGGACTGTAGGCAGCACTTGATACTAACCGAGCTATCTATGTCCTAGCCTATGTCAAAGGCTTGTGATGTGTTGTGATCGCTGGGTTTAAGAAGTGCAATATTAAAACAAGCCATGAGTCTTTTAAGCCCAGGGTGTAAAGCCACACTCTGAGTTATAACTCAAAGGCACAACTGACTAGTGGCACTGGCCATATCAAGACAAGAAATTAAAGCTTTAGTGGCCATTGAAATACTGAACAACCAATGTGTTAGTCATGTGGACAGAAGCACATTGTCCAAGAAGTAGCACATTTCCTTGTTTCTAGGACAGACTAGAATTACAATTCTGTCATTGAGATACCTTTAATGGTGAAGATGTACATTCAACTTAAAGGGCTCTCCAGCCCTTCAAACATCATAATATCTTTGATATGGCTTGGGTACCTTAAAATCATAGAATTCTAGCCAATATTACTATATTCAGCTCTCACTGACTGCCATCAAGTCGATCAGATGCACAGTGACTTATAGAGCAGGAGAAAACTGCCCCCTTGGTTTTCCAAGTGTAGACAGCCTCATCATTCTTCTGTGGAGTGGCTAGTGGGTTTGAACCACTGACCTTGTGATTGGCAGCTCAAGGCATAACCTGCTATGCCACCAGAGCTCCTTTACTAGATCCTAAGAACTGGTGGTCTTACGTGTTGTCTTCCTTGAGAACAAGTGAGCACTGAGGTTATAAAATTTAAATTCCTAGGGCAGTGGTTCTCAACCTCAGTTCCTCATGTGGTGGGGACCCCCAACCATCACATTATTTTCGTTGCTACTTCATCACTGTCATTTTGCTACTGTGATGAATCGGGCGACCCTTGGGAAAGGGTTGTTCAACCCCAAAGGGGTTGTGACCCACAGGTTGAGAACCGCTGTCCTAAGGATATAATCTGCACAAACGTAAATATGAATGAGAAATGCAGTGGGATTCCATATATATGAGTAGTACCCATTGAGAACAAAATGTTGAAATTTCGAGATTCTGAATTCCAAAGATCTCTCATTTTCACCTGAGACTTGAAATTTGGGTCAGAGCAAACATGGAAGTAAGCTGTCTGATTGAGCAGTGTGGGTCTGGGACCAGCCCAAGCAGTAGCAGATGGGCGCTGCTGGAAAGGGTTTCCCAGAGGTGGCCCACATATCCAGGCTAGCTTAAAATCAAAAGAAACTATGTAAGTGATTGTTCATAGAAAACTTAAAAGTGTAACCCACAGTACCTATTCACTCCTTAAAATACTCCTTGCCATATGGTACATCTTTTGATGTAAGTATTGTGAAGTAAATATATACTGGCTAAGAATTTAGGTTCTTATATCAGAAAGACCTGAATTTCCAACCCAGCCCCAAAATAGAGAGTTATGTGAACTTACTTGTGTTACTCAACTTTGTCATCTATCTAAAAAGAATAATGGTAACTACTCCCTTTATAGGATGGTTGTGAAGATGAAAATGCAAAAGTCTGGTATGTGTCACCAAAGCATTGAGTGCTTTATCAGTGCCAAGAGTTTATTTGCGTGAGGTATATTTCTGGTTTTATAAAGGGGATACTGGAGCATAGGGGAGAATAATTGCTCGCTGAGTTCAGTGGCGTGACTGGGAATGAAATTCAAACCCCTGGATTCCTAGACTAGTGCCATACATACTTGACTACCCTTTCCTGGTCAGCTCGTGCTTCTGCCCGAGGATTTTAGAAATAAAGTGTGAAAAATGAATTATAGCTGAATGAGACTTGGTGTTTAAAGGAGAAGAAATGTCTGAATGAAGCTTGCTCTTCAAAGTTGGTCAAATTGTAGACTGTTATAAGAGGTATTAGTAATAATCCATTTAATGTTAGCCAATCTGGCAATGGCTTTACCGATTCAATCTTAGTTTTCATAAAGATAAATTCCGTTAAAAGAATGGTCTTGTTTCAGACCTTGACTCTGTTTGGACTCTAAGCCTTACACATCAGCCATGTCTGACTTTAGATCCTGGCTCTCTCACTTAACCAGCTGGCCACCTTGGACAAGTGACTTCATGCTCTGTTTTCTTACTGTTATCAGTAGAAATGACACCTTTCTCACAGAGTTGTTCTCAAAATTAAATAAGATGTTTCAAATTCCTAGCAGTTAATAATTCTTTGTGTCAGACTCCCTTCCCCTGAATGTAGGAAATTTGCCCCTTGAGATCATCTCATGCTGGAAGCAGCAAATACACATTTAGAGTTAACTCTGGTACCACTTTTTTGGGAGGTCCATGGCAGTACACTGGTTAAGCATTTGGCTGCTAACCAAAGGGTTGGAACCCAACAGCCATTCCACAGGAAAAAGATTTGATTGTCTATTTCTGTAGAGCTGACAGGCCTAGAAACTGTAATCACTGTGAATTCGAATTGACTGTATGGTGAACAACAGTAATACTTTGGTGTACAAAATGAAATGTGATAATGTGTTGGGATTTCAGGGGTGATAGAATGGTGCCTAATGTAATTCCAGTCCCTCAGGAGGATTCCAAAAGCACTTGGGGTTATGGCAGCGTACTTGAATACGGAGAGATGTTTGTACCCGTTCCCTCCCAACCAAGTAGGCACCTTTACTTGAAGGTGTATGTTCTAAATAGCAGTCTTTGTAGTTTCTTATGACCCAATGGAACCTTAACTTTCCAGTGGACAGAAAACGTTCATTCTCGATGGAATTGTTGATCTCTTTGATGTACAGGGTATTCTAACTAGATGTGCAGGTTATTAAATTCTGATTTCTAATGGAATTAGAAAAAAAAATTTTCATACCAACAATAGACATATTCGTACTACAATTGGGGAAGTTAGTCAACATAAATGCCCTGCCATCGAATTTAGACTCATAGCAACTTTATAGGACAAAATGTAACTACCCCTTTGGGGTTCCAAGCCTCAAGCTATAAATCTTTATGAGAGTACAGACCCTCATCTGTGTCCTTGTGTGACCATTGCGGTGCTTTAATCTGCTGTCCTACCCCCCCAAAATGTTGTCTTCATAAATTATTCTGTTCTTGAATGTCTATTATTCCTGAAGATCCTCTGTTTGATTAGAAAAAATTTTTTGAGAAACCCTATTGACATGAGATTTAAGTAATATTTAATTTAATATTTATTATTTAGAAACTGATTATTGATGAGAAGAAGTATTACTTATTTGGGAGAAACCCTGATCTGTGTGACTTTACCATTGACCACCAGTCTTGCTCTCGAGTCCACGCTGCCCTGGTCTACCACAAGCATCTGAAGAGAGTGTTCCTGATAGATCTCAACAGTAGTAAGTGATTCACTCCCGGGTCACACAGCCCCTCGTGGGCAATGTGAAAACGCTCTTTGGGTTCTTCAGTTTGGAAAATGTGTTTGATTGCTTAGTAAGCTTTTTAAAATCAGCTTTCTTCTGGTCCTATAACTTATATTTTCGTGAAGTACTTGCTGGCTGAATATGGAAAGAAGAGAGCTGTAGGGAGCTTTCCCCTGGAGCAAATAATAGGTAGATAGAACAAAAAAAGCACCTGGGAACAGAGATTCTGTTTGAGATGATCTTGGAAATAGTTAGGGGTGACGGTTATAGGACATTGTGAATGCCACCAGATTTTACATTAAAAAATGGGTAAAATGGCAACTTTCATACGTATCCCTTGTCCTCCACCCCACCGCCCAAAATACTTGCTATTAACTCAGTGTTACACATGTTCAGTATTCCTAAGGCCTGTGATAAGCTGTGGTCTGATTTCAGCAAAAGCCATGATTTACTGTGTTAAAGTAGAAGAGCACCAGGGCAAGACATTTTAAAAAATTGTTTTGAGCAAAATTTTAATTTTTGATAATGGATTCTTTGTCCTCGCTACATTTGTTTTGACAACTATTACTACCCATTTTCTTTTCATGACCCCCCTCCAATTAATGATGGGAAAGGCAACCCCAGCATATCCTAGGTGATGGCAAGATGCTTGCTGGGATGGTCATGTTTGATCACCTCACACACACACTCCAGTCTGCTCAGATGGTGGTCCTAAATAGCCTGTCTCAAAAATACTTGCAAATTTACCGTATCTTACCTCCATTTCATAATATGCAGAATGCAGGTGTGGAAAAGTATTCAGAATGCCCAGTAGGATTTTGGCTTACATTGGCATTGCCACCACATCTGTTTCAGCCTAGCTCTTGTCTTGTCTCAGGAAAAACACATAATTGTCATCAGGCCATCAGTTCCTATGCTCCTTAGATTTGAGGCTGAAGAGCTCAGGCCACAGTGATGCTGTGTCCTGGCCTGAAGGGCACATGTACTGCTGGATTCAGAATGGAGCCAAGTCTGTCTGGCAGCAGAGGCCAAGCAGTGATATTTGTTATTGACAGCCAATCTGCAAATGTGCACAAGTCCACTGGAGAGATTTAAGGTCCAGTGAAGGAGTTTTCCTTTTCATTGCAACATGTGACAAGGGCTGCAAAATCTGCCAAGTGCCATTTCCAGTTTTGAAAGTCTGTTTTCTCTGACCATAATCTGAAAGTGTGGCATTTCTTAAAGTTGAATGCAGAGAGGGGGTGGTGGGGGTGGCGTGGCGTGGCACACTGGAGGGAGGGAGGACGAAAGCAAAGCTGATGTGCTGGGAGGAGCTCACCTGGGACAGGAAAGTTGAAGATGATACTTTCCCTCCTAAAAGTTAGGTTTGGTCTCTCTCTCTTTACATTTCTGATTTGGATCTTCCTAGCACACGGCACTTTCTTGGGTCACATCCGGTTAGAAGCTCACAAGCCTCAGCAAATCCCCATTGATTCCACCGTGTCGTTTGGTGCATCCACAAGGGCATACACGCTCCGTGAGAAGCCTCAGACGTTACCATCAGCTGTGAAAGGAGATGAGAAGATGGGTGGAGAAGATGATGAACTCAAGGGCTTACTGGGGCTTCCAGAGGAGGAGACTGAACTTGATGTAATTCTCTTTCCATCTTACAGTTTTATCTTGGAACACTGTTTACTGTTTTTGCAGCCTGGAATTGTTTTGTGTAGCTGTAAATGTCATTGATTTAGCAGTAGGTTTCCTTGAGACTAGTAATGGTCCTTTGCCGCTTTCAAACTGTGTAGTGTCAATTTGGTCATGTGGCCAGGACTAACAAGGAGACTGGATTTTTCTGACTGTACCCTCATAGTTGTCTCTGTCTACCTTCCAAAAGGTTGCTCCCAGAATCCAAGGTTGGCAATTAACTTTATCTTTCTGACTCCTTAGAATGACGACGACACTGCCCACTAGGGTAGCCATCAGCCACATTTCTAGCCAGTTGCTGATCACATGTGGCTGGCAGCTACTGTCGTAGGCAGTGTAGACAGAGAACACTTCTCATTACCACAGTTTCACATTAGACAGATCTGACTTAGAGACACTGATGTTTTCATTCATTTGTGTCGGGTTTTTTTGGGGGGTGATGGGTTGGTACTGTCTGAACTGAACAGCAGGAAACTTCTTGACTAGACTGCTTTTAGCTTGTGGTTCTGGTTGCCTTGAAGGTGATAAATTTTGCATGATAAAATTCTCATTCCAGGTCTTTTTCTTGAGGCTGACTGCTGTATACAATATGGCTGTAGTCCTTCATGTCTCTGTCACTGTGCTGATGTGACTAGTCTATTTAGATAGATCAAATCTGCGCATATCCCTGACCATTTACATACTGTTCATATACGCCAAGACGGTTTTCCACCCTCTGGGAAGAAAACCACAACTGAAGCTTTACAATGCAGAAAGGGTTTTCTTTTCAAGCAGTGGCTGTGCAGCTAGGGACCTTGCCAGCAGACACTTAGGCCCATTTCCCCTCCAGACTGTTTCCAGGTGTCCCTGTCTTAGTGAAATATACTAAGTCCTCTGGGTCCTCATTCATAAGAACCTTGGAATATCAGAAACTGCAATGCAGATTGGAACAAGTCCAGTATATTGGAAAGAAAGGAGCAGGGAGCAGTGCTAAATCCAAGTTAACCATTGAGATGGATGGATGGTTATGAATAGAATCAGGGCCAGGCATGAAGAGTGACAAACTATTAATGCTGAAAGTTAAGTGCACTGGCAATGTCCTTTTCAAGGAGTTTTCAAGGAGAAGGCAGCTGGAAAGTAAGCTGCTAATTGTCCTTTCTCATCTCTGTTTCTTTCTTTACAAACTGTTCTTGGAATTACTCCCGTTCACAGTTCCTTTCATTCTCAGCCTGAAGATGTGGTAGCCATGCTTTAACGCAAACAGATAAGCCAAAGGTATTTACACAGGTGGTGTGTTCTCAGCCCAAAGTTTCTTACCTCCTTCTGACTGCCCCTGCATCCCCAGGTGATGAAGATGTTCCTCTTTCTATAGAGTAAGGCTTATTAGTATTTGAGGTCTAGTGATGGTAATGAGTCCTTTCTAGATGCAGAAGAGTGTCTCATCTAGAGAAGGCACCACTTCCAAATCCTTCTATTTGGCATTATTCCCCCTCCCCCTCAATTCTCTTGTGATGACTCTTGTCTTCCCTTTGTGAACCCTGGCTAGAACCTGACAGAGTTCAACACTGCCCACAACAAGCGGATTTCCACCCTTACCATTGAAGAAGGGAATCTGGATATTCAGAGGCCGAAAAGGAAGAGGAAGAACTCCCGAGTGACTTTCAGTGAGGATGATGAGATCATCAACCCAGGTGAGGCATCTTCTTCCTAATTCTTCTGATGAAAAGGCGTTGTCTAAGAGGGTAGTGGTTTAGAGATCAGTTGTAACATTTCTTCACAAGGTTTTAGGATAACCAGTGCTATGTTGAGGGGAGATATTTTTGTACAGTGTATTAGTGGAGTATCCTGAACATTGAAGTATTATCCAGTTACAGTGAAAGAAATGGCTCACTGAAGGACTTTGTATAATTTTCTTGCTCATCAGTGGAAGATCCTGTAAGATATAAGTATTTACTAACTTCACCTCAAAGCAGAAGACAACATAGTTGTCATTATATGATTTTGAGTATGACTGATAACTCCAAAGTTGGAGAAATGTCTACTGCCACCATTAACTACATTGAAGACTTGCCTCTATGTAAAGAAGTAACTTACTATTTTATGTGGAAGTATCAATAAGATGAGAGCATAAAGATTAATATAAGGGAGTACTGATGGCCCTGTGACTACTAACCACAAGGTTCTTGGTTCAAACCCATCAGGTCCTTCTCAGAAGAAAGATGAGGCTGTCTGCTCCTGTAAAGATTTATAGTCTCAGACACCATATCTAGGGCCACTGTGACTGAGAATCAAATTGATGGCAGTGGGTTCAGGTTTTTTTGGTTATCAGTCTATGGGGAATGTAACTAAGTTTACCAGTTTGTTTCATCATACAGCATTTATTTATTGGACTCATATTATATGCCTCAATTACTGTGGTAGGCTCACAGAGTCGGGATTTTTATACAAAGATGACAGGATTAAAAAGAACTTCTTTGCAAATATATCGCTTTGTGGAAACCAGGAACACAGACTGACTAGGTGCTTCTATTTCCCAAGTAAAAATGCAGTGAGAATAGCTTTTAAGTACTACATTTAGGTTCAAAGTAATCCGTTATTTGAATGGGAGGATCTACTCCAGTGATCAATTATGAAAACAAAACGATCTAGGGAATTTAGTTCATTAAAAACAATCTGAATCAGCAGTGGGATATGAAAATGAATCAAATTCAATTTTAAATTACAGTAATAGAAGAATGAGAAGAGTAACCTTACTGATCTGTGTTCTGACCAAAACTCACACGTGTGTTAGGTTGACCTGAGGGGCGTGGGGGCCCTCAAGCTGGAGGAGCACAGTTGTGGAAAGCAGTCCCCTAGATGCCTCACATAGTCACTGTCCAGTCCCGTGTATACTTGAGTATAAGCCGAGTTTTTCAGCACATTTTTAATGCACTTTTTGTGATAAAATTAGGTGCCTCGACTGATATTTGTTCGGCTTATACTCGAGTATCTAAGGTATTTGGGGGGCTGGCTTCAGGAGGAAAGATAGGGGCAAAACCTCAGCCAGTGGCCACCAAATATTTGGCTCTATGTGAAAAGAAATCCTGGCAAAAATAATAAAATAAAATGAAAAGAAATCCTGGCTTATATTTAAAGAATTCGGGGGGCAGAGGGGATAAAATTGAAAGATAATGGAATTTTTCCACAAAATTTTTTCCCCCATAAATTTTATAAAGGCCCTTATTTTTTCAAAGAATTCTTGAGACACATTCAGGATCTTCATTAATATAGGTGTTACATGTTCATGTTCAGATGGTGTGTATGGTGAAATGGATTACTCTGAGAAATGAATGCCTGAGGAAATGCTTATACCGAACTAGATGACCAATATAAGGTTTATTTCTTGGCCTCCTACCAGAATCTATTAAATAAGAGTCTCCATGGATTGGAAAAGCTTTTTCTTGTACAGAGTGTGTGAAATCAAGCTCAAAACCAAGGACATAAACAAGTGAAAAATCTCTTGAAGTGAGAATTAACAGTAAACCCACAGCGTTGAGTCTATTCTACCTTTCAGTGGTCCTGTAAGATAGAGTAGGATTTCTAAGGCTATAAAAGCTTAGAAACCAGTAGGGTTTCTAAGGCTATAAAACTTTACCAAAACTAACTGCTACACTTTTCCACGGAGGTGCTGGTATTTTCAAACCACTGACTTTTTGGTTCCCAGGTCTGCAGTTACCTAATGTACCCCAAGGCTGCTCCTCAGTAGCCCAGAGGTCAAAGAGAAAGCCTCAAAGAAAAACAAAGTACAAAGAGCTGAGTGAAAACAGAAACACAACTTCTAAAATTGTATGGGAAGCAGCTTTGTGAGGGAGATTTCTAGCACAGGCAATTTTATAGCACTGAATATTTACATACATGAAAAGTCTCATCAATAACCTAAATTCCTACTTCAAGAAACTAGAAAAAGATCACATTAATCCAAATTAAGGAAAGAAATCATGAGGGCAATTATTTATTAGCTTTAAATTGAAACCATAGAGAAAATCACTTTTAATAAACCAAGATATTTTTTCCTAGGGGGGACTAAATAGAATTGATAAATTTCTAGCAAGACTGGCAAAGAGAAAAAAGGGATTAATTATCACTATAAATCTTGCATTCATTAAAAAGCTAGTGAAATGCTCCAGACAACTTTATGCTCATAAACTTGATGACATAGAAAAATAGGTTCCTTTAAACAAGATTAAAATCGGGAATCTGAGTACCCCTGTCACAGTTAAGGAACTGAATTCATAATTTAAAAAGCTCTTGGAAAAGAGAGCTCCAAGCTCATATAATTTCAGACGTAAACTTCACCAAACATTTTAAGAAGAGTGTGTTAGTCTGCGTGGACTAGAGGAACAAATTCATAGACACTCGTGTGTATAAGAAAGAGCTTTATATAAGAGTAATTGTATATTGAGAAAACACTCCTAGCCCAGTCCATAGCAAGTCTATAAGTTCATTATTAGCTCATATGTCTGATACCAGTCTGTAAATTCCTCTTCAGACTCATGCAACACATGAAATGACGTGAATGCAGGAAGATCACAGGCCAGTGGGTAAAAGTTTTGTGGATCCAGTGGTGGTGGAAGTATCTCAACATCTCAGGCGTGGGTCTCCATGTGGCTCCTCCAGTTCCAGGGCTCTGGCTCTGTCAGCCTAGCATGTGGCTTGTCAACAGGAATGTCTCCCAGGGAGAGAGTGTATCTGGCTTCCAGTGAGCTATTTATCTCCTTAGTACCTCCAAATGAGGCCATCGAGCTGCGACCTGATTGATAGGCTAGACTCCACCCCTTCCTCAAGTTGACAGATTATGTAACTCCTACAAAAAGTTAGTGCCCGTTTTACACAATCTCTTCCCAAAAACAATAGGAGGAAACCCTTCCAAATTTGTTCTATGAGACCAGAATTTTCCTGATTGGAGCTCCTATCAGGGGGCCAGTTCACTGCCCCTCAGACCCTTTGGAGGGCCAGACTATAGTTTAAAAAAAAACTATGAACAAATTCCTATGCACACTGCACATATCTTATTTTGAAGTTAAAAAACAAACAGGGCAAAAACACCCGGCGGGGCCGCATATGACCCGCAGGCCGTAGTTTGAGGACCCCTGCCCTAGATGCTGCAGAAGGTTGGTGTGGTTGGCCAGTGTCCATCCAGAGGCACCTCAGAAGAAAGACCTGGAGATGTACATCCCCCAAATCAGCCTGATGAGGCACACTTCTGTGCTGGTTGCCCTGAGTTGGAATTGACTCAGTGATTATTGGATTGATGTTGATTGTTAATTATCTTGATCAAGAAAGTACCCAAACAAGAAAATTGTTCATGGTTCTCTCTCATTATCTTCAAGTTGTCAACAAATATTAGCAAGCCAAATCCCACAATACATAAAGAAATTAAGTAAACTCCTGTTTGTACTGATGACCAACAGCAACTTAGGGACCACAGGAGGGACTAAATGATCTCTTAAGTCACTGTCCAGGAATCAGTCTGATTTTTCTGTTGAAAAGCAGTGCTCTGGAGCTGTATATTCCGCAGTGGAGTGGAATGGGTAAAGCCTGGCTCTGAAGTCGAACGTTTGCATTGCCTTTCCTCTCCATTCTTGTTTGACTTCACAGACGCTATGAGTCAGAGTCAACTTGATGGCGGGGCTTTTTGGTTTTGTTGTATTTGTATCATCAGATTGGTGGGGAAATGGAAAAAATTCATATAGGCAGCTTTCCTTAAGATTGGTGCTAGACAACTCAGTAAGGCCTTGATAAATGTTGGCCTTTATCACCATCGTCATCTTTTACCCTTACAGCCTTCCTATGCCAGAAGCAGACTTAGCCAGGAATTTGTTGTGAGTCCCCCAGGAGCCAAAAGATGGAATTGGGTGCTTTTCTTCTCTTGAGGACTGAAATGGCTAGAAAGAGGAAAGATTGCCCTGAACAATCTTCAGGATACCCCCGAGAGCAACTCAAGCCCTCCCCTCCCCTCCCTTCAGCAGCCTGTGTGTACAGGGTCCCCAAGAGCCACTCCTTTTGGGTACTAGTTGTACTTGGACCTTAGTTAGCATTCTTCGTTGAAAGAAAGGTGAAAACAGCTCCTATGGGGATGAAAGAAAGAGTTAGGGGGTTGTTTGTAGCCACCTGTCTCCTTAATGAACTGAACATCTTTCTTCCTCCATATAGAAGCCATTCATTCATTCATTGAACAGCAATTGCTTGCTGCTCATTTGTATTCAGGGACATCCAATCTGTGATAACTTAAACTTAAAACAAGCAAACCTGGGGCAGTTACTCACATTAAATGGGATTCTTAGTTTTACAGTGGGATTCATTAAGAGTGTGTGTGTGTGTGTGTGTGTGTGTGCGCGCGTGCGTGCGTGCGTGTGTTTAATCACAAACGTCCCCCAATACATTTAAAATGAAACATATAGCATGTATCGGGTAAACAATTCTTTTTTCTACTACTACATTTAAGATAAAAGGAATTTGGAGTCATTTTGCCTAATAGTGATAAGTCTAGGCCTTCCTGTTTCCACACTGTTTCTCATTCAACCTTCAGTGAGTAAACTGTTGTTTGTTCTTAATGATCTGCCCCAATCCTCTCCTGTGGAATCACCTTTGTTACCATGTTGTAACGTATTTGGCTCTACACTGTGAACTCCTAAAGTTAGAACAGTCTCTTGGCCTTTTTTTCTTACCATTCCTGATAACTAATAACTGAAGAATGAGAGTGATTGCCAGGAAGTCTATTACTCTTTCAATTTTCTCTGCAGTGTGAATGAGGCTAAAAGCTTTAATGAGGAACATTATAAGCATTGTTCATAATTCAAATGTATCGATGCTTCAGTTTCCCTTATTCAGTGTTCAACTTTCATGTGTATGTGAGGTCATTGAAAATAACATGATTTGGGTGAGGTGTACCTTTGCCCTGAAAGTGGCATCCTTACTCTTTAACAGTTTCCATGGATCTTGGCAGCTTATTTACTCTGTGCAATGTGTCATTTGGTTTCTTGATTGCTGATTTCAAAATGAACATTGATTGTGGTTCCAAGCAAGAAAAAACCCTTGACAATTGCAATCTTTTCTCTGGTTTTTTTATTTTTTATTTTTTTGGTCCAATTGTGAAGATTTCTATTTTCTTTACCTTGAATTTGAATCCTTTTTTTTTTTTTCCCTTTTATTATTAATTTTGAATCCTTAATTGAAGATTGCAATCCTTACTCTTCATCAACAACTGCTACAAGTCTTCTTCGCTTTCGGCAAGCAAGGTTGTATCATTTGCATATCACAGTTTGTTACTAAACCTTCCTCTGATCCTGATGCCACATTCCTCTTCATATAATCCAGCTTTTCTGGTTATTTGCTCGGCATACAGATAAAAAAGTGGTGAAAGTATACAACCCCAGCACTTACTTGTACTGATTTTAAACCATGCAGAATTCTCGCGCTCGGTTCTCTTGACTTGACTCTTGATAAAGATACTGGTTCTGCATGAGCACAGTGGAGTGTTCTGGAATCCCCATTCTTCTCAATGGTTTTGAGCCACACAGTTGGATACCTTTTCATGATTAATAAAACAAAAAAACATTTTTCTGCTACTCCCTGTTTTGAGCCAAGATCCATCTGACGTCAGCAATGGAATCTCTTGTTCCATGCCTTCTGGATCTGGCTCGAATCTCTGCCAGCTCCCTGTCAATGCATTGCTACAAACTGTTGTTGAATAATCTTTAACAAACTTTTATTTGCATGTGATATTAATGATAATTCTTCTATAACTTGTGCATTTTGTGGGGTCACCTTTCTTTGGAATGGGTGCAAATACCAGATCTCTTTTAGTCTGTGATCTGGTATCCATCTTGCAAGCTTCCTGGCAGAGACAAGTAAGTGCGTGCAGTGCTTCATCAGCATGTTGAAACATTTCTTCTGTATTCCGTCAGGTCAGTGCCTCAGGGCAGCTCGGACTTCTTTGAGCGCCATCGGTTCTTGTTCATATGTTCTCTTGAAACGATTGACTGTAGACTAGTTCTCTTTCATGTGGTGACTATTTTTTTCATCATCTTGTTTTGCTTCCTGCGTCACTCCATTATTATCCATACAATCTTACTATATTAGAACTAATTTTTTCTTCGTTTCTTTCAGCTTGATAAATTTTGAGTGTGTTTTTCCTTGGTATTCACTCATTTCATTATAATACTTTTTTTTGGTCTTCTTGGGCTGCCCTGTGAATTTTTCTGTTCAGCGTTTTACCTTCATCATTTCTTCCATTTGATTAAGGTTAATGTACAATTAAGAGCAATTACTCTATGATTTAAGAGCAAGTTTCAGACTCTTCTGACATTCACTTTGATCTTTATTGACCTTTTACTTTTTAATAACCTTTTACTTTTTTCGTGTATGATGTTCTCCTACAGCTCATCAGGTCTCCTGTCATTAGTGGTCAATCAAATCTCTTCTTGAGCTTCAAGTGGGATAGACTCGAGGTGGTATTTTGGGTCTGGTGGACTTGTTTTCATTTTCTTCATATGAACAGTTGATGCTCAGCTTCTCCATTTCTCCATCTGGAGAAGTCCATATGAATGGTTGTCATTGATGTTGGGGAAAAGTGTAATGAGGGTGGATTGTGAAAAGGCAGCTGCTCTCCCACCCTCCTGGGCAGCAGTCTCAGATCCCTTAGTAAAAATTCTGATTGTGTACAGGTCAAAGGGCAGCCTGGAGCCTAGTTGTGCTGATTTTGTGATTTGGGGCAGGGTGTGTGATGTCTCAACATGTAGTGGTTTTATCACTATACCTTCACTCTACCATCCAAAGAAGGAAGGAGGTGGAGTGGCAGAGGCAGCACAGCAGTCCAGACAACAGCCTCAGTCTCCAGCTTCCTAGAGTGAAGTCCTGGCTCTTCCATGCTCCACCAGGGTGGCCGTGCAAGTCACTTTACTTTCCAAGCTTCAGCTTGTGTTTCCTCTATTAGATGTTGATTATAATCCTTACCTCTTAGGTTGTCAGGAGGGTTTAGCAAACCCCAACACAGAGTAAACACTTAGTGTTAGCTTGATTTTACTGTTTTCAAATTAGAGGTGTTATGATGTTTTTGTGTACCGTGAGCCCGGTAGACTCACCGCTCCTGGTGGAGTACCAGCCTGACCTTGCCCTCATTCTCTTTGCAGAGGACGTGGATCCCTCAGTTGGTCGGTTCCGCAATATGGTGCAGACTGCTGTGGTCCCAGTCAAGGTAGGAAGCGCATGTAACCGTATTTGATTGAAAACCCACTGTGTGTGTAGGTAAATGTTGAACGTATGTGCTAATCTCCCATTTTTCATTCTGTGGACATGCTTTCCTTCACTGCGGTTTATGAGATTCTTGGAGTGCCATAGAAAAGTTCCGGGTAGCTCTCTTGGCACGGTGCTGGGGTAGTGAATTACAGTGCACTTCCAGAAGAGCATGGCGAAAGGCCACCTTTCTTTGACCTTGTCTTTCTGGTTCCTTCCCAGACCAGAAAGGGGATTTTTGCAATGCTCTGTGATGCCTGTGGCTTTATCTTGTGAACTGGAAGGACAGCCCAGGTGTGTGGTAGACTTAAGGATCAGATATGATAAAGAACAAAGTGGGAGAGTTACAGACATGCTCTAATTGCTCAACATGAGAATGAACTACCTGTCCTGGGACTTTGTGAAATTAGCGCTGTGCTAAACAAGATTATCCAGAGGTTCCAGAGGCCTTTATTTATTTATTTCCAGGGGTCTTTATTGTTCAATAAATCTTTAGAATGTATTAGATTTATTCGCTGATATGATATGTCAATGTCCCAGGTTAGATTTGTTAAATCCACAAGGGAGTGGGAGGGGCATCTTTCGTGAGCGTTAGTCCAGTATGAAACAGTAGGTGGCATGTCTCTGTGATGCTAGTATTGAGGTCACATTTCTCCTTGAGTTCTTTTTTTGTCTTTTGTAATCCTCTGTTGTCATTAAAGTACAAAATCAGCTTTTTAAACTTTTATTTAGGTTTTTAAAAAAATAATTTTATTGTGAGCCTATACAGCTCTGTTCAAAATCCATACATCATTGTCAAGCACATTTGTACTTTTGTTGCCATCATCATTCTCAAAACATTTTCTTTCTACTTGAGCCCTTGGTATCAGCTCCTCATTTTTTCCCCTTCCTCTCCACCCTCCCTCATGAGCCCTTGATAATTTATAAATTGTTAATTTACATAAAATAAGATGCACCCATTTGAGTGTGCAGTTCGGGTTTTGACTGATGTGTATACATCTGTAAAATCACCATCACAATCTAGATGTGGAAGGATTTCGTCTTTAGCAGTTCTCGCTGTCACTCTCTCCCTCCCCAGGCAACCACTGAACTGCATCCTCTCAATGTAGATTAGTCTCGTTCAGATCAAGGTGTACAAACTGGGCCCTCTCCCTGAGATACCAGCTTTCTCTCTCCTTTCCTAAATGAAAACCTGTTTAAATGACTGCTGACACCTCTGATAGGCGATGATACCCATTGTCAACCTCCATTTCCTTAGGGCACTTGAACATCAGAGAAAGGAAAGGGGAATGGACATGACCTTAGAAGCATCACTTAAATTTAGATGTTTAATTTTATTAAAAACTCCCTGCACACAATCATTTCCCCTGTGTGTGACGCCGGATGGTGAGAATGTTAGGTAGCAATGTTTGGGAACACTAAGTGATCGCTAATGCCCCTTCAAACGCTGAGATTCCTGAGTTAGTAGTAGGGGTCTGGGAAACAAGGGTTAGAGACCTTTCCCAAAGGTTGCTTCTTCTGGGGCTGGAACAAAAAAATTAACTAACACCATCCTGGTTTGTTTCTTGTCTTCCTTGCCCCATTTCTCCTCTCTCCTCCTTGTGAACCACAGAAGAAGCGGGTTGACGGCCCTGGCTCCCTGGGCCTGGAGGAATCCGGGAGCAGGCGCCTACAGAATTTTGCGTTCAGCGGAGGACTCTATGGGGGCCTGCCACCCACACACAGTGAAGCAGGCTCCCAGCCACATGGCATCCACGGGACAGCACTCATCGGTGGTTTGCCCATGCCATATCCAAACCTGGCCCCTGATGTGGACTTGACTCCGATTGCACCAGCAGTGAACATGAACCCTGCACCAAACCCTGCAGTTTATAATCCTGAAGCTGTAAATGAACCCAAGAAGAAGAAATATGCAAAAGAGGCTTGGCCGGGCAAGAAGCCCACACCTTCCTTACTGATTTGATACTGTTGGTCAAGGAGAAGGGTGGGAAAGGGTGGGAATGGGGTGGAAGGGTGCCTGAGGGAGCTAATGAATTAGGGAGAGAAACTTTCCGTGTGTGCAGTCCCGTCTTTCAGAACGTCTCCTGGGATTTTAACCATGCAATGGTAAAGCTGAGGGTAGGGTTGAAATACCCATAAAGACCTGCCTTCACAACATGTTGATGTAGAAAATGGTTTCTATATGTACTTCTGAGTAGACCTCCTTGGCTCTTCCCTAGACCTTCCAATACTTCCTTTTTCCTTTCTCCCTCTTTCTAGGATTATTTTATTCAAAGTCACATGTCCCTGGGGAGAGGCTCCAGGCACTCCACTTGAATCCAGAGCTACGGGGGTTTACAGTAGCCTCACCAGCCCTGTGGGTCCAGCAGGTACCCCCTCAGGTAGCAAAAGATTGTCATGGGTCTCAGGTTGATCAACAAGAGGGTCTAGGATGCTCCGGATGGAGTTTGTTTAAACTCAGAAAATGTTTCCCTGAGGTCAGTGGTTTTGAGGTCCAATAATTAGGCTTTCTCTTTTGTCCTTCCCGTTGGAAATGAGAGCATTGATTTCTCCGTCTGTAACCAATGCCGTAGATACAGGTTGGTAGTTTTAAACTTAGAGTATTTTTTTTAACGCTACCTGTTTTCTTGTTAAACCTGAGCACTCCACTGGCCGACTTTTCTCGTTTGATTCAGGGGACTGTCCTCTACTCTCTAGAATTACTTTCCTTCCCAGGTGTGTGATGAAGGCAATTTTCTAAGGTATGACCGGCTAGGGCAGTTAAAGTTGACAAGGGGAAGATTGTACTTTGCAGTGACTTGATGCCTGGAGGTTGTTTCCGGTTGTGGCTGGAGGCTCTTTCCCCCCTCATTGATTGAGAGCTCCTGGACTAGACCTGGCTGGCAAGCACAGGAGACCAAGGTAGGGAATGTTGATAGGAGCTTGTACAGAGATTTGTACATTTGTGTCATAGGCCTTTTCACGCTTTCTGTGTAGCTTTTTACCTGTCACCTTTATTACATTGTAAATTAAACGTAACTTTTGTCATTTGTGTGCATTCTGTCACTCAAGTCTCCATAGCCCAGTCCACTGCCCTTAGGGAGTGTTTGTCAAAGCCACAACGATGGGGCTTGGGAGGTGATCCTGTGTCCCCATTTTACTGCCACAAATAAGATATCCCTTGATGAATGTGGAAGCTCTAATTAGAGATTCCAGTCCCCAGACTGAAGCCTTACGAAGCAAAATGGGTTAAGAGGTGGCTGCCGCCCTTTGGCAGGAAGGAACAGAGCAGACCTGCAAGGGGAGACTGGGCTCTCGGGGTGTCCTAGCAAGGGTCCTCATTAAGCCAGGCCACACACACTCTGGTTCTTTAAATGACCACTGAATGCATTTGGGCTATAAATGACACAGGAGCCAAGTTGCTGTTTTGGAGGGATTTCAGCAAGAGTTTGGATTAAATGGGTGTGGCTTGTAAGGCAGTTAGTGCACGTGGTGAGGGCTAAGACAGGGCTTTCCCGTAAAGATGTCACAAGAGTTCTCAATCCCTTGGACTTAGGGCAGGAAGGAGCAGCCTTCGAAAAAACAGCGAGTCAAAATCACTGCTGTACAAGGAGTTCCCCGTGAGCTTCAGTAAAAATGAGTATCTCTAAGAGTTGTACGAGTCCCCAATAAAATGATTTTTTTTAAATGAGTATCCTCATCTTAGAAATGTCCTGTCATTGTTAATGATGGCTCACTAAGCACTTGCAGCATGCCTTTAATTCTCATTTAGTACAACAGGACCGTTTATTATGATTTGCAGATGAGGAAACTGGCTCAAAGCCAAACAATTCCCTGTGGTTACACTGGAAGGGAAATTGAGGTTGAGAAAGTGATTCCAGAGCCTGAGCACAAGAATACAAAAAAAAAACCCCGGAATTACGCTGGGTGGAGCGGAGCTTGCTTAGTACACATATTCCCTTTAGGTGAGCGTTGAGCAAGCTCTGAGTTAGTGTATCCAGTGGCATCTCCTGGGAAGGTTCTCTGGTCACAGTGAATTATTGCATAAAAGCTGTTTTGCTTGAACCTCATTTTTTGTGTTAGCGATTTAAGTGAACAATGCAACTGAAATTTTGTTTCCTGCTTGGGAAAAATAATGCCACAGAAACTTGTGATGTTGAACACAGCTTACAAGGAAATGCTATGGGAAAAACTCAAGTGTACCAGTGTTTTTCGCGTTTGAAAAAGGTAGAATGTCGATTGATCAGTCATCCTGAACAGATGAAAATATCAACTCAGTAGAGCATTTGAAGTATATTCCACCAGGTCAGACTGTTAATCAAGCTTTCTGTTTAGAGGTACTGAGAAGATTGCATGATTTGTGGCAGATGGACTGGTTTTGCCACCACGACTGCACCTGCTCACAGCCATCTAAATGCGCCAGTTTTTGGCAAAAAGCAGCATGCCTTTCTTGCTCCCGACCTTACTCCGTGCAACTTCTTTGGTTTCTGTGAATGAAGAGGGACATGAAAGGACAGCGATTTGATGAGGAAGAAGAAAGAGGAGAAGGAAAAAAATGAGGGAGGTACTGTCAGCTATTCAAACAGATGAGTTTGAAAAATATTTCCAAGAATGGAATCGCAGATTTGACAACTGTATTAAGTGTAATTAATGGAAGGTGGTTTGAAGGTAATAAGGTAGTTTTGTAAAAAACAAACCCAAAACTCAAATACATAGCTTTGAGGGGGAAAATTCTCGTTATTTTTTGGGGGGGGTACCCCCTCGTAGAGCCTCAGAGGTGACTTAAGGTCACCTTAAGTGCTTGGCCAACTGCTTGTTGGTTGTAGCTGTGTCTTTCTCCTAGGTACTATTTTAAAGAGATTTGTTTTTATTTCCAAACGGCTTGTGAACAGGTCCATCTTGCCTGGTGAGGGGGTTTGTGTCAGTGAAACTTGCATTGGCATTTCCTTCCCTTGAGGGGCCCAGTCTACCAGAGCAGAAGCAGGACTAGCTGGATTTGGTATATCTTGGATTAACGAGAACTATGTGTAGTGCCCCTCAGAAATGAATACATCAGGAAAACACTCGGATTGATCCATCTCTGGACAGTGACCATAGATGATTGACCCCCTCCTGCTTACCACAAGGATGGCAAGTAGTCTCTCTTAGAGAACACATGCAGCCCGGGCCACAGCTTCCAGTCATAGAACATAGGCCCATTCTGGTTGTGAAACGTGAACAAGCCATTTGGTAAGAAGGGAAGGGATGACCCATGTTCCATCCCCAGGATGAGATGGTGCTTACTGGAGTACATAGCTCTGTCCTTCGTGAACGCTGTCTCAGGAGGACCACTGTTCATGTTAAATCAGAAGTTTAACCAGAAAGAACTTGGAAGACCTGCCCTGTCTCCGCCTACATTTTGCTTGTGAGCACACATGTCACTTCTCTCTGACGTGGGTTGACCAGGTGGTGGTCTTAAAACAAAGCCTGGCCTGCAAAAGACTCCCTACCAGAGGACAGACACCTGGGCTCTGAGAGCTTTCACTGAGGTGTGTGCAAGAAGACCTTTGCTTCATGGAGCAGTGTCAGCCAACAGGCCCCAGAAAAAGACAATCATGAAAGGTGGGAAAGGACAGTTGGGGCAGGGTACAAGGGCCTGTAAGGAAGGGGCGTGGTCAGAACAGGAAGCCAGATCCCAAAAAACCCTGTAAACCATGCTAGAGAATGTGAGAGGGCCAGGACATCAACTAACCAGCGATGAAAGACTAGAAAACCCGTCCCACCCAGAGTGACCTTCAAGCAGGGACAGTGACTGACCCGATTGCGGTAGAAATCGGGAAGCAGAGAGCATAGAGAAAGGTCTAGCTCATGTTCTCAGGTTAGGAACCAGGAGGTGGGGCTGAATCCTGACAGGATGTAGCAGAGGAGGCGCACTAAGACTCTTGGACCTTCCATGTTTCCCAGCGGTGGATGGGAGGATATCCAAGCAAGAGGAGCTATAGGAAAAATGTGGGTTGGGTCCATGTGACAGTGACTGACTGGCCAGCTGGGAATGCCGTGCAGTGTTTACCTACTACGTTCGGGTTTTATCTTTTATGAGAGAATTAAATAATTGCCTATTTAGGTAAGGGAATCTGAGGCTTCCACCTCAGAAAGGAGGTACGCTGCAGTTCTAGATTCAGTCAGCAGGCGGGGCCCTGCTCCCGTCTTGGAAGCATGGTAACCAGTGTTGATGCCAGGGCGATGGGGCAGGAAATGGGGAGTGGGGAAGAAAAAGGAGCTGATGGTGGGCAGAGAAGAGGTTGGTGATGTCCCTGGTGAACAGAGGCTTCACTTACGGTTCAGAGAGTGTGGCCCAAGGTCATGTAGCTGGCCAGTGTGTTCTGGACTGTGAGCAGCATGCGAGCACCGGTTTCTCCCCTCCCCCTTCTACTTCCCTTGTCTGCTCCTGCAGTCTGTGGAGCCTCCAAATTTTGCTGCATTGTGCTGATAACCACAAGGCCAGCAGTTCGACTCCAGTATTTTTAATGACTTTTTGCTTCATGTAAATGTTCTTGTTGGGAATAGATTTATCCTAGCTCAGATAACATTGTGCTTCAAGATCATGAAATGTCCTTTTGACAGTGAATGAAATGCGCTCCCTCATGAATTTGTCGTTCCCAGCCCAGTAGACCATAGGACAGCCATCCAGAGTGGGCAAGATCTGTCCGGTTGAGCTCACTAAGGCCCAGACTGCCAATCTGTATGCAGTCCATTTCATTTTTTATGAATTCCAGTTGTCCTAGATACATACTAAAAACATGACACGTTCTGATTGTTAATAGATGCTTGCAGCCGTTTCTTATTTTGAGTTGTGCCCCATTGGCAACTGAAGGTCTCGATGGCTTTGCTCCGTCTTGGTCGTCTTGGTCATTACTGTCAGTCGACTCTCCTTTGAGAAGGCAGCTCTTCCTCAGTCATATTTCAAATGCCTTCCGACCTGCGGGCTCGCCTTCTGGTGCCATGTCTGACAGTGTCCCGCTGCTGTTCTGAGGTCGTCAGGGGTGATTCCTCAGAAGGGGACAGCCTGGTCCTTCTTTGTAGTCTCTTCTTAGTCTGGAAACTGCTGAAGCCCGTGCCCCAAGAATGGCCCAGCTGGTAGGGTTTGCTTCAGCAGCGCATACACTAAAATTGGGAGAATGACCCAGCGGGTATCTGAAATACCAGGAGCATAGCTTCCAGCATCACAAGCCACCACGGTGCGGCAAACAGACAGCAAAGGGAAAACATCTTAGGTGTTGCCTTGAGGGAATGTGTCAGTGGGCCTGGGGTCTCAGAACCATGGTTTTTGGGGACACCAAGGTCAACTGGTATAACGTAGTTCACAGAGACAATGTTCTACATCCTGCTTTGGTGAGTAGCCAAGCTCATGGGCGGCCAGCCATCAGATTGATGGAAACAAATTCCAGTGAACGAATGGACCACACGAACATCATTCTTTACAACTCTGGGACCAGAAGAACACAATGGTCCCGCCTAACACTATCAAATGCTTGGAAAGGAATCACATTGGAACGTCCTACATAAAGTGGGGAACAAAACCACAGAATCAAAGGGGACCAGCTTCTTGGTCAGATAGAAACTGGTAGCCCTTAATGACCCCCATGGCCCAATTTCAGCCAAACAATCGGTGTCTAAGAGGAACAATAGTACTAGATCTGTATGAACACCTTCAAATAAGATAACATTTGAGGTCAGAAGGGCAGTGTTTACCTAAGAACAAAGTTCAGAAAGATTAAGAAAGAAGGAAGTATGGAAACAAAATCAGGAGAAAGTAAGATAATGATGTTACAGTGTGGGAATTGCAAACAATGACATGAAACAAAAGGTGTGTAAATTTAAATGTTTTTTCTACAAAGGAAACGTTCTGTGACTTGTGATAGACACTCAAAATCATGTCTAAGCACAGACAGAACACAAACATTGTTTAAACACAAACATGATCAGCCATCTCTCTAGAGCAGTGGTTCTCAACCTTTCTAATGCTGCGACCCTTTCATACAGTTCCTCATATGGTGGTGACCCCCCAA